AGTAGTAGAGTGTGTGTGTGTGTGTGTGTGTGTGTGTGTGTGTGTGTGTGTGTGTATGTGTGTGTGTGTGCGCTTAAGAAGTTACTTTGCAAAGCCTTTGACTTCCTTGCTGTGACGGCCATGGGTCTTTGAAGGGTTAAACAATGAACTAGAGTATCCATGAGGGGGATGGAACTCTGGGAAAAGGTGCATTTGAGCAGCTGGTGAGTCTTGGAGCCTAGGGCACCAGGACCATGGGGCTCTCACTTCTGAGAAGGGGTATCAGACAAGGGGTCTGTGCTCCGGGAGTGGATCTGAGATGCCCGACCCATTGCATCAGTGCAGCTCAGACCTGGGCTTTGAAACGCTCAGGGTCCAATATTTGGATCTGAGCACAGCAGCCTGATGAATTTTCAGCAGGACAAGCTCAACCCGATCTCTGATATGGCGTTTGGACTCTGCCCATATTTAGCTGGCTTGGAAGCACATAGGCTCCAAAGGCTGGAACCTATTGCCCCAGACTGGTGACTGTGCACTAGTGGGGACTCAGACAGGGCTGTAACAGCTTGGTGAACCCAGAACTTGTGGCTGCAGGGATGCTGCTTGAATGTGTGAATGTAGTAATGGAGCTAGATTGTAAATAATCTGTTACTGCGGGTTAGAGGGAAACAGATTAGTATCCAGCTTGTATAATCTGAAACCTGCTGTACAGTAATGCAAAACGGATCTCCTGCCTATTTCCACTCTGTTTATCTCCCTGTCTCGGGGGACATCAGAAACGTTCCACATGATGAGAGGTTTTGATGAAATGTGAAGCCGGCCAGCTGCTTTTGAATGGATCACCTTCTGGGAGATCAAATGGTATCTAGACTGCCAATGTGTGATTTACCAGGCGTTGGTTAAACAGCACTGAGATATTTTAGCACTTTTAGTCTTCAGATATTTAGACTGTATGATCTTTGGGGCAGGGACTGTCTTTTTCTTCTGTGTTTGTACAGCGCCTGGCACAATGGGGTCCTGGTCCATGCCTGAGGCTCCTGGACGCGACCACAGTGCAAATAATTCTAGCACTTTTTCATAAACGGATTAACTGATCCTCACAGCATCCCTATACAATGGGGTGAGTATTAATAGCCCAGTGTTACAGGTGGAGACACAGAGAGATGGTGCTTGCTCGAGGCTACCCACGCAATCCCTATCCAAACCTGTGCTATAACCCAGATTGTCCTTGCTTCCAGTCCTGTACTCCGCTCACTGGAGAACTGCTTTTATACCTACATTAAAAAAGCAGTTCGGGAAGCAAAGAAGCTGTTTGGTTTTTATACTAGAATACAACCCTCTAAATCAAAACGAATGGCCCAAACAGAGAACTTTTCCAATATCCGACCCAAGCTGCGATGATAAATGACTCAGCAATGACATTTGACCCACCCAAGTAAAAAAGAGCCAAGATCATATTTTCTTGGCCCGATGTTTCAGTATTCTTCGCGCACATTAGTCTGAGTCCAAGCAAACGTCAAATGAAATTGAAAAGTAACCATGCTGTAGTAACTTCAATATAAGCCAATAACATCAATAAAACAAATCACATATGGACTCTTCCAGTACAAATTGGCTATTTCCTGCTTGGTTCTTTCACTTCTTGTCAACAGAAGAGATGGTCTATACTTCAAATCTTTGCACAGGCGTTTGAACTGTGTGCAAAGTGTGCTGAAATTGCCGGCAGTAATTAGTTTATTTAGGGAGTAATTAGTTAAATGCAACTGTTCCCCTCTCTGCAGATTAAAAAGTGAGCTGTAAGTGATACCATCTTAAAAGAGCAGATGTGCTATAAAGAGGACAGGGGCCAATTATTCTCATTAGTCAACGAGGACAGAACGAGAACTAATGGGCTTAAAACTCCAGCAGGGGAAAAATTAACTTAAATATGAGGAATAACTTTGCAGCTGTAAGAATAGTCCAGGCAATGGAAATTCAAGCTTGCTAAGGAAAAGTCAAGAATTGTCATCAATGGACATACTCAAGACCAAACCCACTCGATTTTCAAGGATAATTGAAACAATCCTGGAGGCTGCTACTGTCCTTCAGCGGGGCGCCTTCCAACTCAAGCACTTGGATGATTTTCAAGCCATCAAGGTGACTTAGCAATTGGTTTTTATGACAAAGATTATGATTAGGCAAGGTTGTCAGTGCCTCCTGAGTAATGCTAAACAGCCTCAGTTCCCAGTGGGAGTTGAAGGCACTGTGCACCTCACAGAAAGATGGTCAGAATCACTGGCCTACTGGAGTACTTCGGAAAAGCTGCAGTAGATTGTGCTTTCTTACACTGCAATCTTTGGGGGTGGGGGGGCGCGCAAAGATCACGTGTACTCCTGTTTGCACCGCACCTGGCACAGTGGGGTCTCAGTCGTGATCGGGATCTCTGAGTGTACTTCTAATAGAAATACTAAATAATAGCAACTTGAAAGGTTAAGTTTTTGCCTGGATTCTGCTATGCCCGACTACATTTCTTTAGAGCCAGAGCTGTCAGATGCCACAACAATCTTGATGCTCATCAAACTTTGTGAGTCCTCATTGCTAATGTTGCATAGTATGTGCTTAGTTCTTATCCCATCGTGATCCAAACATGGAGCACCAGAGAGCTGCAAAGGACGGATGTAACCATAGAATGCAGGTGGATAGAGAGGGAGGTCACTGGAACAGAGAGATGGGGAGTTAATTGCGGGGAGAGTGGGGCGGGGGGCAAGTGTGGTTTAATTGCATGTGGAACTGAAAACCTAGGACTAGTCCTGTACTTGAAGTTTAAAGGGAGAACATTGTTCCCCCTGTTAACAGGCAGCTGAGCAATAGGAATGTGTGTTTTAAAGAGCTGTGGGTCATGGTTGTTGCACAGAGTGAGAGAGTATAGCGGAAAATTCTCACCATGTTAGGAAAGGGAAAGAAACTCAGTTTTGTGGTGGAGAAACAGATTTCACTGAACCGTTTCCAAAAACCCAGTTCATGATAAACTGCATTTGAGGTAGCAATTTAAAATGTGAAACACCCACTGTCTGAATAGCATTGTGGAGTTCCATGATAAAAAAGAACTTGTTTTTTAAGTAAAAAATGTTGATTTTCCTAACTGCCAGCCCTGCAGACTCAGTCTGGGAGATGAGATTCAAGTTGGAGTCTTCCTTTCCCATTATCAGTAATGAAGGATCTGCAGGCCAAATTGTGCCTTTGGTGACACAAGCGTCTTCACATTCTGCCCCTGTTGACTTCACTGGATTTGTAAAGGTGCAAATGAATGGGCCTGTAATTAGTCAGAGATTCTGCTGATGCACAAGAAGGAATGGAATCCAGTTCCTTTTCCTCTAGTGGTGCTGGCCGGGGGAGGAGGTAATAAGAGCCCTAAGTACAAACGAACTTTAGTGACCAAATTGACACAGGCCAAATTCTATTCTGAAGCCCGGTCTGCACAAAATTTTGTACCATTAGCAGTGTAATTTTCTTCCTGAAATAATTATACCAGTACAACCCCTAGCGTGGACGCAGTTATACTGGTATAAAGATGCCTTATAGCTTATTCCCTTTCCCATATGGGACTAGCTATACCAGTATAAACACCTTTGTACCACTATAAATTCACACACACTCATGGGGTTGTAACACTTGCAGCACTGGGTTTAGTTGAAGTGGTAACACTTTTGTGTGTAGACAATGCCTCAGTTACACTGATGTAAATCCAGAGTAACTCCAATGGCCCCTTTGATTGAATTCACACAGGGAGTGGGTCTGTTAAATCTGAAGAGGCTATTTTCACAATCACTTTTCAGAGCAGAATTGCAGGTGAAGTGCACCTTGGGCAAAGGCAGATCAGGCAATCTAGTGGCCGTGAGAGCTAACACCAGAGCCCAGGCCCCTCCACTTCTTCAGGGCCATGGGGTGTGGGGCCAAGCTACCCAGTGCCTTGTGAATTCCCTAAGGAGGGGCAGCTCTCAAAGCTGCAGTTGTATGGGGGTTCAAGCCCCTCAAAGGTGTGGGGGCGGCTGTGCCAGAGTGGGTGAGGGGGCATAGTGAAAAGCCACCCAAAGAGAAGATCTCCAAGCTGCAGAATGGAGCAGAGAGGAGAAGCCACCTAAAGGTGCTTCAGTCAGGCAGGTCTGTTGCACTGCAGAGCAGTGCCAGCCTGTTATTTAGCAAGCTGGGGTGAGCAGGGAGGGCTGGGGAGACAGCGCTCCCGGGGCAGGGCAACTACTCAGGGTCTTTGGGGGAGGGGCAATTTCCCTACACACACACACACACACACACACCCTTGCAATTAGCACAAGTCAGCACCGTCCTTGGAGCGAGGGGGATCCTGCTGCTCCCTTTGCACAGGTGGCAGGGGGAGGGGCGCCGGAGCAGAACGGGCTGCCCCTCCTCTTACTCCAGCTACCCCGCGCTCGCAGCCCCCAGCGCGTGCGCCTGGTTCCCCCACCCGCCCCAGGACTGGGCTGGCGCGCGCCACCCGGGAGCCGCGCGCGCCTGCAGCTCGGCTCTCCATGCCCGGGACTAGCGCTCAGGCGGCAGCGGACATCCTCAGCATCAGCACCACGGGGAGCATCCGCCTCTTTAGCATCAGCAACAGCAGCGCCTTCTCCCGCTCCTCGCCTCCTCCGCTGCTGTTTGTCCGGGGCGGGTTGTTTTGGGGGTTTTTTTTACACGCGTTTCTTTTCATGCAACCCCTGGCGCGCTCCCCACTGAACTTTGTAGGGGGTGCAGGAGGACACCATGCTCCAGAGCATAGCCACCATGGCCTTGCTTTGATTGGCGGGACCTGCTGCTGCTAGCAGCGCCTGGGCGGAGAGCGAGCGAGCGTGCCCCCCCCCCTTCGCCCCCCAAATTAAAACCACCGTCTTCGGGACGGCTCGTGTGCAGTGAGGTTGTTTTGTTTTCTAGTTATTTGGTGGTTGCATTGATGCTCTCTAAGCTGGAAGCTTTCCGCAAGGAGGTCCTCACCTGAAAGAGATCAAGGCACAATTCCAATGTTGAAAGGTAAGAGTTTGGAGGGGGTGGGAAGGGGCGTGTGTGTGAAATTGCAAAGGCTCTTTGATTTGCAACCAAATCATCTGTTCAGTTGGGGTGTCCTTCTCTCTCCACACATCATCCTTTATCTGTGGTCCTGTGCCCTTGCTCTTCTTTCCATACTACTTCTCATTCTCCGGCCCCCACCCCCGAGCCCTCCCCCACACCTCTTCCTCCATCCAAAACTGGTTTTGCTCCCTCCTCTTTTAAACAGCTCTAATGCCAGTGGAGGGAGTGATGCTGCTACTGTGGACTCCTTTCGATTCGACAGCTAATCCACAAAGCAAGGATGGTAGTGGGGAGATTCTAGCCCTTGTTGCAATATAGTTGTGAACAGCAAGGAGTTTGGTGAGGGGAATCCCCAGGTGTTGAATGAATTGAATAGAGACAAGGATTGTACACTATCTGCTATCCTGCCTGCTTAGCCCATGTCAAGGAAACTGGTGAATCCTCCCACATCCCACCCCCAAGATCTGAATGAATAAAAGAATCGGGAAACTCAAAGTGGTTTTTGTTGTGCTGACACTGGTCAGTGTCTGTATTTTGAGTCTTAAAATGCAAGGTCATTACATCGACTCTCAGGGTGGTGGAAGGGAAACCCGCTATGTAAGTACACAGGTCCCATTATTAGCTGCTCCAGGGCTAGCTCTCCCCCTCTCATGCTCTTTAGTGACAGCTGCAGGAGTCAGAGTGGCTCTGAAGTTGATTTTTTCTCGCTCTCCGGACAGTGATCTGCCAGGGCACTCCAGTAGGAACCACCCACTCAGGCAAAGCATTTGTCCCCAAGTAGAGCTCCATATCTGCATGCCTGGGGGAACTCTCAGTAGCATTCACATGGGTTTCTATAGATTGTCCCAAACCCAAGATATTAAGAAAAACAAACTTCATTGTTCCTGAGTGGGGAAATAGGTCAGAGAACTTCAAGCAAGGGACATCAGTCTAATATGACAGAGAAATACAGAGCTGGATGCAAGAAAGGTGATAGATCAAGTATCCGTCTTTTCTAAGCATGTTTGACTAACAATAATAAGACAGACCAGGTGGGTGAGGTAATATCTTTTATTGGACCAAGTTTTGTTAGTAACCCAGACACACTGTTGAGCTACACAGAGCTCTTCTACAGGTTTGGGAAATGTACTCAGAGTGTCACAGCTAAACAGAGGTGAAACAGATAGTTTAGCATAAGAAGTTAACACATATTCTAAGGGACCATTCAAGGTGAAGTGGCCCATTAACACCGCTGTAGTCATAGGACCAAAAGGGGGTTAGAGGGTTACAGAGTGTTGTAATAAGGCATGAATCCAGTGTCTTTATTAATACCAGGATTTTTCAGTGTCTAGCAAAGTTATGCAGCTAAGCTTCCAGGCTCGTCTTTTGAAAGCGTTGTGCAGGTTTCTTTCGCGGATGAGGACTGATAGGTTGGATATAGAGTTATCCCTTTCACAAAGGAATCACTTTATATCTGAGCTGATTTTTGAGGCAGGAGGGGAAAAAGGGGAAACAGCAACAATGCACGTCTCTGTGTTTTCTCAGCCATGAATTCCGAGTATAAATAAAACTGTTTCCTGAGTGTGTTGCCTCCTCATGTCCAAAAGTTAACAGATCAGCCTTAGAATGCTGTGGTTATTACCTAGGCTTCATTTTGGTTCATGTTGGCATTTAAATTAAGCATTTTGAATCATTCCTGTCATTGGCTCCAATCCTGTTCCCTTTCCAAGTCAATTGCAACCCTCCACCCCAAACTCCAGTGGGTCTGAGACCAGAATCTAGCCCAAGGTCTCTACCCTAAGACGTTTACAGACAGAGTAACATTTGTCAAAGTGCCTAAGTGACTCTGATTTTCAATGGCACTTAGGCTTCTAATAACCTGGGTCAGATTTTCAAAGGCGTCAGTGTGCCTAAAGATGCAGATAGGCACTTAGTGGGATGTACAAAAACATCTATACCTAACCTGCTTAGGTGCTTTGTAAATTCCACCAGGCACTTAAATACCTTTCTATATCTGGCCTCGGGCACTTTTGAAAATTTTACCCTAAATACTCATGGTCCCATCCTGCCTCCATGAGGCAGTTTTGCCGCTGACTTCAGTTTAATAGAAGTCACACCTACATAATTGAGCACAGAATCAAACTGGCGGTCTTCGCATTTGGCTATAAATTGCTGATAGGCAACGATGTCATATAGATAAATAGCCATGACTTGCTACGTTGTGCCATACCCTCATAAGAGTGTCACGGATAATGATAAGGTCAGTAATGGCATATAGGTGGCTGGTGCCTTGGGAGATTTGGTTTTTAAAGATGCCATTTTAAAAATCTTTAAGAAAGGATTGGCGGCAGAGGGGTGAGGGGGGGTCATGAGATTTTGCTCGCATTTTGTTCTGTTTCCTTGTTTATTGCTTTTCCCCCCTGGCAGATAAGTGTGGTATGTCTTTACCCTTTGACTGAGGGGGAAAAATGTATTAAAGCAATACACCTCAGCAGAGAGACCCGGGATTGTGATTTATGTTGACCAAACTCTCGTCCACACTGTATGGGGTGGTCTCTCCAGATTGAGACTGAGGTACATTGGGCAGGGCAGGAAAACCTGTCTTGCAGAGCCTGTGCTGTACAAGTTCTGAAGATAAGGAACTTACAAGCAGGCCACAGGAACCTTTAAAGCAACAGAAGTGATCAGGTTGCCTGAGAAGACTGAGAGACATCAGGACCCCCCAAAAAATCTTGCCCCACCCCCTTGCTCCCTGAAGGCTTTAGTGAGAAAATGACCAGCCAATACTGGTTCCAGGCCCACTAGCTTCTCCGTCTGGCCATTAGGAAGGTTAAACATTTCTAGCAGACCACGTAGTTATCAAGGTGATGACCAGGGGCTGGGTGACATGCAGCACTAAAGAGTCCAGTGGAGTGCAAGAGGTGTCTCTTGTCAGAATCATGAGGGCAGGCTCCAGAAGAAGACAATATATGATTAGGGCCACGTGCTGGAGAAGGGACCATCTAGAGATCACTTAGGCTAATTCACACAGCCCCGCAAGATCCACCAAACTGAAAGTGATGCCTGACAGCACTTTGCCTACTGCAGAGCTGCTGCCTTGTTCGGCAAGGTCAGAAAGACCGTGTGCAGCCTGGCTGGCTGGGATTTGTTTTCTAGTGAAAGGGCCCAGCGTTCTCATCTCTTTTACTGATACATTGGTTGTTCCTTATTAGGACTTTATGGGTTTTTTTTGGAGCTGTGGCTCCTTGTTATGAGTGTCTTCTTAGCTACTTAGAGCTTCAGTACTGAGAAGGCAGATTCCGGAAAGAGGTAGAGAAAACCAGTTCAGGTAAATGTTGCTTGATTCTGTTATGTTCATGGCATACAAACACAGAAGTTAGATAAAAACAAATAATTTTCCTAGAAGGCTGCAATCTAACGCTGTTGTTTCTTAAAATGCAGAACAATAACACACATGAACCTAAAACCAGAGAGAGACAAAGCAGGCTGCTCCCTAATACAGCGAGTGTACAAATCACTCCATCTTACTCTAGGCTGGCTGTCTCCAGACAGATTCTGATCACAGGCTTCCCTACAGAGCCCCCTAGCATGCATGCAGGACCAGAAAGCCCCTTTACAAATTAAAGTAACAGCCTGCAATTATGACAGTTTTCAGTACACCACAGTTTCTAGGCTTTGTGGCTTTTAGTAGGCTTTGTGTTTGGGCTGGGATTTTTGTGCTTGGGAGTAAAAGTCAGTTGGATTTTGCTTCCCACCTCTCTACATTTTTGTGCATGCTGTTTTCTTACTTGAGTTGGTGTAAAACTCTGTGTAATTGGCAGCCCTTCCCCTGCGCTCCCAGGGGACTTTTGTCTGGTTAGGGTCATGGTATTGCATACTGCCTCTTCCTCCATTTCTCAGCATGTTACGTGGGGTTTTTTTGCCTGCAGTTCCTCTCAAAGGGGCATCGAATCATCCTCACTGTAAAGAGTGAATAACATGAAGGAAGAAGAAGGATGACTCAGGCTGAGGGGGAAGCTGTTTATTTACTCTCTTGGATCCGATGCTGTTTTCTCTTGCTTTTCAGAGTTTTTATTTTGAATGGTTTTCTGGGTTTTTTTTCTCTATCCTGTTCTGTATGTATGAATAGGCGGTTTTCTCCCACCCAACTCCAAACAGACCCCGCAAATTGTGGGGGGTCAGAACTTATCCCCTTCCTTGGGTTTGCTTTCATTCCGAAATGAAACAACACAGAATTAGCCGAGTTTTTCCCCCCAGGCCTGCCTGTTCCCATGGTTCCTCCTTGAGGGCTGCTCAGTTCCTGGGCCTCTCTCTCTCTGCAGTGCCACCCCTGCTTTCCTTACCTACAGCTGGGTAAAGAGTGCCCTGCAACAGAGTGTCAGCAGAACCTGCCGAACCCTTTCCAGCAGGATCAACACCTTCGTTGGCTGGGTAACATTCTGATTCCTTCCAAGATGGAGAGTGGATCCCTTGTGTACATTCCTACAATCAGACTAGAGATGTACAGACAGCTTCTAAGCTGGAATGATCTGATGATGCATTTGGTCAGCGCAGGATTGTGTAGGCGGCTCTTCCTCCTCGTTACGAGCACCGACTTCCTTCTCTGCTCCACAGCTTTTATCAACGAGACGGAATCTTGTCACGCTCTCTCTACGACGATATCTGACATTATCCAACTTGCCCTTGGTGTGTTTCCAGAAATAGTTAGGCCTACAGTATGCACAGATGACATCTGGATGCATTACTGTCGAGTTCAGAAATGTTCAGTAAACAAGACGGGGATCTATTGTTTGAAGGTTATTTACAGAGACTCCTATCAAGTGATCTGGCCATGCAGAGGGGAAAGCCTTAATGGCAAGGCGATAATTGCTTTTTCGAAGTACACTTCAGAAAAGAGTCATTAGAAACCCAAGGGCAAGCTGCAGCCGGCATTAGCCAGACCAAGGGCTTGATCCAAGTAGCACGGAAGTCAAGGGGAGTTT